TCTGTTAAAAAGACTATACACCAAGAAGCCTATCAAAATAGATCTATTTCATCAGCATTAACCTTCAAAAGAAGACCTGTAGATTATCCTGAATAATTCCAAAATCTTTTTGTAGCTTCAAGATTTTAAAACTTGACAATGCAGAAATTTTAAAATGTAGTAGAATTCCACTTGTACTCTGACTGCTATCAGTAACTGTCCAGACAATAGAGATCATAGTATTTTACCTTTTGGGGCCTGTTTTCATCACCTAGAAAATGAAAGAACACTCCTAAGGGTAGGGGGAACCTCAATAATCTTAAGACATTCATTCATCCAGTTTACCTAGCTTTCTAATGCTATTTCAACCTAAAATGTAAATACAACTATTCAATGACATAAACCTTAATTTGTTGGCCTTTAAAAAAAATCAAAGGTACAACAGAAACACATCAATATACTTTTAGGGCCCATGAATAATTCATCCAAAATAGTCTAGGTATATTAATTAAGCACAAGCTAAGTAAAGCAGATCTCAGTGACTCGAGTCTATGATGCTAAAGTGATCAAGTTCAGTTAAGTTACTTGTCTTACAAGCTAAGCAAAATAATTTTTTTACTAATAGTTCATAATATATCCATTTTCTAATTATTATTAACCTATCACCTTCACTTAAGGGAGATGCCAACCGACACACAGAATGAAAAACCATGCAGAGCCTAGAGCACTTCTACTGAGAAGTAGATGTAACTACATTTCATCACACGATGCTACTTATTTTCACAATAATTAGCTGTCTTTTCATTCTGGCCTTTCTTCACAATCTTGTCACTTTATTAAACATCCCCTCCACAACTCTAGAGGAAAACAGTACTGAGTACAGTAACACATTGAGATGACCAAGTATCTTACTACTGACAAATTAAAGCACATCCTCACTGATGGTGCAAATTTCTCTTAGATTTAATGTGAATTGGAAATAGAGAAAATATAACAAATCTCAAGCAGCCTTGGGTTTTCCTCTTATCCTGGAACATGAGTTACAACATTCTGAATGCTTCTCATATGGCTCAAACTTTCACAAGCAGCAGCATACAGCAACTATTATGAAGAAACACCTACTTTAAAGAATGTATACATATGTGGGTACAAGAAAAAAAAGAAAACATACGTGAAAGCAAAAGTAAAAAATTGTGGACCACTATAATACTTAATTTTCCTCAAAATCCTTGAGTAAAACACCTACTAGGCTATTAATTAATATCAAACAAAAAGTCAACACAAAGGAGGGCTGGTGAGATGGCTCAGTGGTCTAAAGCACCTACTTAGAACAAACTTAGCAAAGCACAGGGACCACGGTTCAATCCCCCAGCACCACATGCCAGCCAGCCCCGGCCCCAGGTGGGCTGTGCTGGCCACACACACACACACATATAAATAAATAAATAAATAAATAATTTTTTTTTTTTTAAAAAGTCAACAGAGGAATGTGATGAAGCCAAGTGTCTTAGAAATGGTCACATTAAGGAGCCAGAGAGATAGCTCAGTAGAATAAGCGCTTGCCTGGCAAACACAGGGTCCTGAGTTCAATCCCTGGTACTGCCAAAAAAAAAAAAAAAAAAAAGAAAGAAAGAAATGGTCACATAAACAACATATAGCATGCAACAGAAAAGTAACACTGCTACATACAGCAGCACTATGAAATAATTTCATCCACTCCAAAATACTGATCTGTTTTTCTAAAAATATGAAACGGGTCCTAAAAGATTAGAAGTACCACTTTCTTTCAGTGTGACTTCTTGGTATAGCCAGCTACTAACTTTCAACAAATGCACACATAATGACACAATCAACAAATAACTCCTACTTTGAAGGCCTTTTTAGAAATTTGAGAAAACATTAACATTGCCGGGCATGGTGGCACACACCTACAATTCCAACACTTAGGAGGCCAAAGCAGGAAGAGCACCTTCGGTTTGAGGCTAGCCTGGGCTACATAGTGAGTTTAAGATCAGCCTGAATTGGGGGCTGGTAAGATGGCTCTGTGGTCTAAAGCACCTACTTAGAACAAGCTAAGCTAAACTAAGCTAAGCTAAGCTAAGCTAAGCTAAGCTAAGCTAAGCTAAGCTAAGCTAAGCTAAGCTAAGCTAAGCTAAGCTAAGCTAAGCTAAGCTAAGCAAAGCACGGGGACCATGGTTCAATCCCCCAGCACCACATGCCAGCCAGCCCCGCCCCCTGGTGGGCTGAGCTGGCCACACACACACAAAATGAATAAATAAAATTAAAAAAAAAAAAAAAAAAAAAGATCAGCCTTAATTACAGAATGAGGAGATCCTGTCTCAAAAGGAAAAATCTAAAAAGTTTAAAAATTAAAATTTAACATTTTCAAAATGGTGGGTTTTTTTGCTTAAAAGCAAAGGAAAGTATAAACGAAAACTTTTCTTTAAAAAAAAAATCTTAATATGCTACAGGCAGATAATACACCTTATTATCCGACAACACATCTGGTATTGCTGGTATGGTGGAGAAAGAAGGTCTCCATGCTACCATCACTTACTGCTTTTTTCATCCATATGCACTAGGTGGCCAGACTAACATCTATCTTGAAAGAAATCTACCCCCCGAACCCCCCGCAGTACAAGGGATCAAATTTAGGACCTTGGGCATGCCAGGAAGGCACTTACACCACTGAGCTATCTTGCTGGCAGCTGAAAGAAATCTTATCTATTGTTGTAAAAGTATTGCATTGCTTCACGCATGCCAAGCTTCGAATCATCGCCTGTGCAAGATCTGTCAAGAAAAAATCTACTGTTGTCAAATATTTTGTTCTTTTATTTGTGAAACAGGGTTTTCAGAACTTGAAATAATCAAAACGAAGTCAAAATTGACCTAAGATGACACAGTTCGGTGGAGCTCGGAGGTGGAGCACTTGCCTAACATGTGTTTAGCCTGGGGTTCACTGTTCAGTAATATCCCCCCCAAAAAAAAAAAATAAAGCATAAAAATTTCAGAGCCTTTCAATTTATTTTAAAGAGCTAAAGTCAAGTATGATGCTGCACATAATCCTAGCAATCAGGGGGGGTAAGTCAGGAAGATTGTCTTAAGGTTGAGGCCAGCTTGGGCTACAATGAGTTCAAATCCAGCATGAGCTACAGGGTGAGACTCCCCATCTCAAAAAATTTGGAAGGGCTGACCAGATAGCTCAGTGGACTAAAGCACCTACTTAGGCAGGTGGAGGGACTGGGGTTAATCCCCCGCATGTTGTGTCAGCCCCACCCCAAGGGCACACTGAGAAAGCAACTGAGACTGGACATAGTGGTGCGCACTGTAATCTCAGCCCTTGGGAGGCTGAAAACAAGACCACTGCAAGTCTGATCTGTGTAGTGAGACCCTGCAGACCCTGTAATGCATATATATACATGTATGTATGTATGTATGTATGTATATTTTTTTAATTTTTTAAAGCTTTAAAGAGCAACACGAGTCCTTTTGTTAAAATTAGCTACTAGGCAAAATAAACTTCATTTTGGTTAATTTTTGTACTATACAGGATTTATTCATTGCTTTTACTGATTTCTGCATGGAAAATGGGAAGGAAAATTCTAAAGGAAGGTTCTGTCCATGTTTTTAAAAAAGTTTCAGCACAATTAAAACCCCTAAGCAAAATTTTGTGTCTCTGTACACCATGTACCTACATGGTGGGAGAACCTTTCATTAGATTTTAAGCACCTCACTTAAATCTAGTGTTGTGGCTCACTATACAAGTTTTCTCTTACTTTTTTCAAGAAAGCCTTTTTACTTGATTTTTTTCATATTTAATTTTATGCACTATCACAAATAAAATAATAATTTGGCACCCTCAGAAAAAACTCAAAAAGTTACGAAGACAAAGGGCTAGAAAACAAGATGAGGAAGTAGTACAGCATTGAGGAACTAATGCAACTACACACTGTAAGATAGTGGACATGGTCACTTCTATTTCTGCTTTCAAGTCAAGAAATTGCCCTAACCTGAAGGAGAATGTGACTCACTATAAAAATCATTAAAGCTAGAATAAATTTTCAGATAAGAGTTGTGAAACTCTTATATCCAGACTTGAGTTCTCTAAATGAATTTCTCATCTCTCTGGAGTGGTTTGGATTTTGTCTTTCTTGGAGATGGAGAAATGTATAAAAATTATTCAGATTAAATATTAACATGTTCTGTCATACCAACCAACATTTCTGGATCCTTTGATATTATTGTAAAATTTCTGTCAAAAAATTTATTTTGAAGCATAACTACGAAATTAGTCAGTGATTTTTAAGTCTTAAATTTTCTGAATAATCAAAGAATCTCTGATCTAATTGTAAATAATGTAATTGTAACTATGTTTATGAATATGCATAGGGCAGGGTGATTTTTTATTATTATAAAAGCTCACACTGTACTACCTAACAGCATTCATGTTATTATCCTTCAGAACTATCAAGCTTCCTTTCAATTAATTTATTAAATTTTTAAGTATTTTGTGAGGCCAAATACAACTGAGTAAGATACTATAGAACTACACAGAAATGGCAGCATGAGCAGAAAAAAAAGCTGTTTGCTAAAATAGAAGTTGAGGTGGCAATAGAGTGAAAAATTTAAAGAAAAAAATAAGTATTAGCAACTATCTTTGTAAAATCTATTTCTAAGAAGTGTGGGTAGAGAATAACAGGAGCATGCAAAGGGTAACAAGTTTCAGAGACAAGATGGTGACCACAGTTAATGCATTGCACACTTGAAAACTGATAAGTAGGTTTCTCACTTCAGTGCAAAGAGGTTAACTAAGATGATCAACATGTTAGGACGCTTGACTTGGTGACCATTTCACAATTTATGCATTCATCAAAACATCATATTATACACTATATATACTGCACAGCTTTTGTTCGTTATACCTCATGAAAACGGAAGGGGCATTAAAAAAAAAAAAAATCTTTATTTCAGTAAAGTCTAGGACCTAAGGAGAAGACCGAAAAATATCAAACAAAGCTTACCTTTTTGTCTCTGGTCCTTACTTCTCCATAGAAATCTAGAGCCTCTTGTGCCTTTAAAAATTTGCCCCGATGTAATAAATATGCACAAATCATTACACCAGTCCGTCCCTTTCCAGCTTTACAGTGAATTGCTGCAACATGATTGTCATCTTCACTTAGCCATTGGTCAAGATCTTCACAAAAAGGCTTGATAAGATCTTCACAAAAAGGCTTGATAAGTGGTGGGTTATGGTCTTCAAAAGGGTACTGTGCAACTGTGATAAAAGATAGCCTCAGAGTAAGAAAAGGATCTTGCCTAAATTCTTAAGGGGAGTAGGTTAACTTTAGAAATGTTGCATATAAACAAAAGATATTGAAAAGAAACACTGAATTGCACAGAAAAAAAATTTATTGTTCATTTACTTTCTTACTTTTTAATAGAAAATAGTCTCTCAGTAATTTTTCAGTATATCCATTAGACAGGGTGGCCAAGTAAGTACTATGTTCCTCACTTCATGCAGGAGAAAACTCTGATTTGACAGGGAGCAAAGGTCATAATACATATGAGAGGTACACTGAATCCCAAATGAAAGCAGGTCACACAGCCTCTGATGAAGCCTCCAAGTGAAATTCTAACAAAAGGCGTAATAACATTTATATACTGCATCATCATAAAACATATTTCAAAGAATGTATGGATTAGTAATAAGACCAGCTAAGAAAAAAATGCATTTGGCATTTTATAAAATAAAAACATTAAGGGTATTTAAATGTTAAGTGTATATAGGACTTGAAGGCATTACAAAAGAAAGTGAAAAAGAACTACAAAAAGTATACAATCACAGTAAAGTTTATCAAATAAAGCTTTAAGTCTTTTCTTTTCACATGAATCCACATGGATTCACAAGAATCCAAGACTTCTGTGTCTCCCACATCTGAGCTAAGGTCTGTCTTAATAGCATTTGCCTTCATTCCTCCCTCTTAAGAACTTTAAAAATCCTCATCGACACCAATGTACTAATTATCCCCTGTGTCATCAAAACATATAAAAGCTATGTTTTAGATCCTCAACCAAATCACCACAATACGGTACAGGGCACAATCAAGTAAATTCTCTGCTGTCACAGGAAAGCTCTTCTGCTAGGCAATGAGTTCTACTGTACAGGTTTGGCAGGACAACTTTTCAGACAGTCATCTGCCTCACTGCTCTCTCATTCTATCTTCACTTCCCCAGTGGTACAAAACAAAAATATTCAGGAAAATCTATTACATGTCTATTTAAAGTTAGATGAACCTCAAGAATGGCATTCTTTGCCTAGTAAGCAATAGACTAACTCCACAAAAAGAAAGGAAAGGAAAGGAAAAAGATAGATTGATTCTTAGGAAACCATATTGATTCTCCGTCGTTAGAGCTTCAGAATTTTCAAACCACCTGTCTGAAGTTTATCCCACAGATAGAGCTCAATGAAAAATACACCAGTCTACAGCTCATATTACTCACTTTCTCCTCTCTCACAGCAGCATCTGCCAAGCTTCTCAACTCTCCAGTTTTCTCTTTAAGGGCTTAAAGGGTTAAACCCTCAATCCCAACTGTTAGAATTACAGGTGTGGAACACTATGCCTACCTACTCAGGCTTCTTTTTAAAAATTCGTATTATTTTACCTTTTTCCATCTTTGAAGTCAATTCTCAATCAAAAAAATAAGGGTTTTTTCTCCACATAAATGGTTGTTACTATTACACCAAATGTTTCAAGTAGCAGCTCAAATAACTTACATTAATTTAGTAATTCTTCCTAATTCTTAAATCTATTCTGCATTCATCTTCCTGACAATACTGATGGATTCACATGATACATTTGCTAAAGCTCAATAGCAAAATGAGTATTTTCAAATTATCTCAGACCATCATTAAAGACAAACATTTATCTTTCCTATTAATTTAGATGATTCATTATTGCTGTAACAAAACATAGCCTACTGGATTTCAGTTATACACAAGATTATGGTATATTTATACATACCTCTGCAGTTAAATTTGGCGGTATCATAATGTCTTTCAGCACATCTAAAAGAGAAGTATACATGTATATAAAGTTATCTTTTGTGCTTGAAGGGAAATTATTTTTTGTTTCTTGTTTTTGTTTTGTATTTAGGACAGGATGTACAGGGTCTCACTGCATAGATCAGACTCATAGTGATCTTTCTGCTTACAGCCACCCAAGTGTGAGGATTACAGGTGCAAGCCACCATGCCCAGTCTCAACTGCTGGCTCAGTGTGCCCCAGGGGCAGGGCTAGCACGACAGGCCCAGGGATCAAACCACCCCCCACTTGCGCCTGCTTGCAGGTGGTTTAATCTGCTGAGCTATTTGGCTGGCCTCTGAAGGGAAATTATTAACAAACACTTCGTGAACCTCCTTCCTTAACATATCAGGTATTCTGCTAAGTATTTTATATTCATTATTTCATGTAAACCTAAGAATTCTTGTAAAGAAGTTACTATTATTATTCCCATTTTATAACTAAGAAAACAGAGGCTTAAAAGGTAAAGTATATGTGATTAGAGCTTATACATTTGTTTAAAAAACTCATGATGTCAGGGTCTGAGAAGATGGTTCAGTGAAATAAGTGCTTCCCTGGCAAGCGCAAGGGTCTGAGTTCAATCCCCGGTTCCGAAAAAAAAAAAAAAAGCTCATGATGTCACCAAATACTGCAAATTCATCTACATTTATACCTTTAAATTTTCTCTATGGAAAATTTATAAGTTACTATATTTTTGTTTCACAAGTACTTGTCAACAAGCAAATGATTTCAGTATTTAACTGTACAGGCAAGCACACACAATCCTCTATTATTTTAAAACATGTTAAAAATAATATAAAGCATAAGCAAAAGAAAACCTGAATGATAATAATCTACTTTCTCCCTTCAGATAAGAATCATCCTATTCAATAATCTCTCAGATGATAAATATCTGAAAGCAATGAAATAAAATCAATAAATAGTAAAATGACTTAGCATTACCAGAACATACAGATATTCCTTTTTTTTTTTTTTTTTTTTTTGCAGAACCAGGGATTGAACTCAGGCCCTTGCGCTTGCCAGGGAAGCACTTATTCCACAGAGCCATCTCCCCAGCCCCCAGATATACTTTTTTAATAGTAGTGATTTTTGTTATTATACATTAGCTTATTCATATTTAATAGGTTCAGAAAGAGACTCCATCCATCAGTGTGGTCAGCAGCATGCTCATAACTCCAGTTACTAACCCAACTAGATGTTTTTAAGTTGTTCAAAACAAAACCTTGGCATTTTAAAATAAAGGTCAATTGCTCCTTAGCAATTCCAAAATCCCAAGTGTACAAAACATCAAACATTTCTAGTGTTGCTGTTGTAGTTGGTACCGGGAATCAAACTCATGACTTCACACTTGCCGGTAGGCATTGAGCCCCTGAGCTATAACCCTAGACCTATTTTCTTTAATTTATGACAACTGCAATGATAGAACTCAATCTCAGTTTATGAGATTTTATGTAATTCTTACTTAATATACTTAAATGTGAAGAGTCAACTATTTCATCCTACCTACTGTACCAAAACCTACTGGGACATTTGTGTAATATAAAGCATATTACTTTTTAAAACTGGGAAAAACAACTGTGAATACTGAACCATAACTAGCTACAAGAGTTTCAAATAAGTGATTTAGGACCTGCATTATACAATTAGTAATCCTAAAAACATCTCTACAGTTTCTTTACTTCAAAGTTTCAAAACCAAATTCAAATTTAGATTAAAGTACTTACTAATAAACTCTAACCCACTAGCTTTCTAACTGGTCAGAACTGAAAGAAATCAACTTTTATATTATCACTCAAAATACAACAAAATAAAACTTTTTCTCTTTTGTATATTATAAAATACTGAGTTTTGCTAAAAAGAAAATTTACTTTGCTTGTATCCTTGCCAAATAGATGACTAGTCACTGATGTCAAAAATATGATAGGAAAAAAAGAAGTTAACTAAGAAAACAGTCACATTCTACACTTGCTTTAGCAGACTTTGGCCAGTAATGGAGACTCTACAGTGGAGTATTTTCATCAGGAATCATGTAAGGGGAGAACAAAAGGCCAGGAACTAGCTCTTATGGAGCTGGTCTCTTAACAGCGCAACAGAAAATAAATGTTAGTCCTCACGCAACTTCAGTCCTGTGAGGCATCCCACACTTTCTCAGGCTGTAAAAATATTTCATTTCAGGGGCCGGGGAGATGGCTCAGTAGAATAAGTGCTTGCCTGGGTAGCCCAAGGGCCTGAGTTCAATCCTCAGTTCCACAAAAAAAAAAAAAAAATTCCTTTAGGGGATGGAGATGTAGCTCAAAAGCAGCACGCATGAAACTCTGAGCTGGACAAATGCACTGTAAAAGAAGTTAAGCCCCAACATGATGTTTGGTGTGACAAAGACTGCTTCATATCAAAAAATGGTTCTCAGATAATAGTTAGAATGAAGATGTGGAAGCAAAGTGAAAACAATGATTACTAAATGCTACAAGATGTGCATGTCATTTTCATAATTTTTGTGCCATCTGCACCATCACACTAAGTTCATAATACCATATTATTTTATGTATAAGGTAGGGAAGACATAAAGCCTGTACAAGTTATGATATGTAATTGAAGTCAGAACTCAAGTTCAGCATCCTTAGTTTCAAAGTCCAACTTTTTCTACTGCTGCTTCATAGGATTATAATAAAAAATACAGGTTTCAAATACAAAAGCGACTGAAGTTGCATTAGGACTAACATTTATTTTCTGTTGAGCTGTTAAAGAGACTAGCTTCTCAAGAGTTAGTTCATAGCCTTTTATTCTCCCCTTTACATGATTCCTGATGAAAATTTAAAGCCTTCCTATAAAAGCACACTTTGGCGCAAAAGACACAACAGTTATGATAACAAAACGTATGAAGATCTGTACAGGTAAACACAGGAGGTATAGACAGAGAGCAATAATATGCTGAGACTGTTAACAGCGCTAAAAAAAAAAAAAAAAAAAAAAAAAAAAAAAAAAAAAAAAAAAAAAACTCATCAGGGTAAAGATGAAGACTTTCTCCATAATTAAAATCTTCTCTAATCATGATCCCAGCACTTGGGAAGCTGAGGCAAGTTCAAGGCCAGCCTGAATGACAACATAACAAAATCAACACCAGTCTGGACTACACTGCAAGACTCTGACTTTAAAAACAAAAAATTTTCTCTGATAAATGCCCTACACTCAAAAGCACGTATTTCTTTTCAAGTTTATGTAGTTTGCTAGGATAAATCTATCTCATACCATAATTAAGGATACGAAAAAATTAAACTTCCTTATTACAAAAACTTCGAAGACACCATATTAACTTAGCATATTAACTTTTTTTGTCATTACCTCATATTGGCTTATATGAAACAAAGAGAAATGAAGAAGCACAGAGAGACTTTTCATGAAATGGTAAAAGTAATGAAAAGAATAAAATTAATAGGAAAAATTTCCAGAGAAGCTAGTAGCTCGCTACATCCTACCATGAAGCTATTCCCATTTTACCAAAAATAACATAAAAAGTAGTAACAGCTTAAAGTTAGCGATACAATAATAAAATTTGTCAGGTAGAATACACAGTAAAATACAGTAAGTCTTTCAGAAGTAGTATTCATTGAACACTGAAGTTCCTTATTCCCTATCAAATCTCCTTACTCTTTACCAGAGTGTAGATTAAACAAAGGAAGAAAAACAAAAGTGAAACATACAGGTACAAAACAAACTGACTAAGCTAATGAGTATCAGTGTATCTGAACATGGTCAATGCTATAAGGCTATTTTGAGAGTTTTTAAAATAACTTATTGGGGCTGGGGAGATACCACAGCAGCATAAGTACCTTCTTGGCAAGCACAAAGTCCTGTAACACACACACACACCCCGAAAAAAAGAGTAAAAATAACTTTATGCCTGATGAAACTATATATAAAGAGAATTACTAGAAAGTTCACATTAAGAATTATTTTTCAGGGCCAGCCAGATAACACAGCAGACTAAAGCACCTGCTTAGGCAGATGCAAAGACTGAAATTGGATTCCAGGCATGCTGTGCTGGCCCCGCCCCCCAGGGCGCTCTGATATGGGCAAATTGAGGCTGGGAGTGGTGGCTCGCGCCTGTAATCCCAAAACTTGGGAGGTTGAAACTAGGAGGATCACTATGAGTCCAATCTATGTAGTGAGACCCTGTACTAAATATTAAAAAAAAAAAAAGAATTACTTTTCATCAATGCATTTCATAATTATAAAAGGATATGTTTGCAAAGAAAGAGGTATATATCTAATGTAATTACTACCCTAGAATAAAAGAAAGAAAACAGAAGCACACTGTTGCTAGACTCACTTACATAGAACCAGATTAAAAAAGGGGTGGCAGGGAAGGAGGCAAAAAACAAAAAAAAAAAAAAAAAAAAGGGAAATGACATCAAAAATCAAAATATGCTACAACTTAGTAGTTCTGGAAACTTTTGAAGCAAATAAAATTTGGGGAGGTGAAAATAGAATATTTCTAGTAGAGTCCATGTAAGTTCATTTTTCTAGGTCTCAGATTCCTATCTGTAAAATAAGAAAGTTTGACTAAGTTACCTCTTTCATGTGCTTTTCAGTTCTGTAAGTCTTAGGATTCCAGGTGAGAAAAGGAAGTAAATATGCATTAGAAAGTATTCCCAAGGATTAAAGAGATATTTAATTAATTTTGTTTGGAAATACGAAAGCAGGCACTCAAAATACCTCTCAAAGCAAACTTTAACAATAATAATATAAGTGACTTACACTACTGATACCAACAGTACAAGCCTTAACTCCTGATTCTGGAAGCAGAAAGCCACTGCATACAAAAAAGAAACATAATTCCCTCTTTTTCTTTGAACTTGTTAAACCAGAACAAAATTTTGACAAAGGTAGAATTTGTTTTCAGTGTTTTTCAATCTCCTTCCAGGACTCTATAAATCCCCTAATTTCACAGTGTAAATCCAATTTTAGACACAATTTTTTTTTAAGAGACAATTTCTGAATCCAGCTGTTCAAATAATACAATGTTTTGATTTTTATTTTTCTCCAAAGAAATATAATACTATGGCATCTGCAATGGGCTTACTAAAAGAGGCTAATAAGGAGGAAGACCCCTAAATGAAAAGATTGGTAAGTTTAAGCTCACTTAAATTTAAGTACCTTTACCACTTTAATCACACATACACAGAGACCCCAAAATAACTTGTCTTGCCAGATTCCAAACACCATTATGTTCACAATCTCCTTTCTAGCCACTGCTTCTGCCTGCAATGCCACTTGCCCTCCTCGATGGCCTACAAGTAAATCTTTACTGATTCTATTTACAGATCAAACACATCTTCCTTTATGAAACATTCTGTATATAGTGCATAATTACTATTTCCACATCTTCTTCACTGATCTTTTATGCAAGGGTTACCTCTTGCATAACATTTCGTATTTCATACTATACTATAAGCTGAGAACTGCAATTATGCCCTACAACCTCTATACCCCTCCAAACATGTTTTATAATGTCTGTCGTGGGCACTAAACACATTTTCACCTTCATGAATCTGAGAAAGTCCGTGCTAACTTATGAGGAATAATTGGTGTCTATTCCACACTCACTCCTTCTGAGGTCTTATCAGAACAGAAATATTAAATTAATAATAAATAAAAGCAATGCAACATGCGCTAAGGAGGCATAGGGGAATCCTTTGTCCTCTTTGGTGAAGATATAAATGCCTGCTGGTAACAGAATCTTATTCTTATGTTTGATTAACTACAGAAAAAAATTGTGAGAGTGAATTTCTATGCCTAACTTTACATAAATCCTTCCTATTGCATAATTTATGTATCATATAAGAAAACTAAAAGCCAAGTAGAAAATTAACATTTCATTATTTAGAAATTAAAAAATGTCTCGTTTTAGGAAAGAAAAACATACTTCAAGGACCAAGTGTTTTAAGTATTGTCTTCCTTCCTTCCCTTCTTTTTTTTTCCTTTTAAATTTCTTCTCCCAAAGTCCAAAGAGAAGAAAGGTAAAAATAAGATCAATTAGCTCTATCAATGAACAATCTTTAAATCCCTATACAAAGAAATTGCTAATTTAATGATTTTAGATAACTGTCTTATATACCATTAGAGAATATTCTTAATGGCTGTTTTAATCAACACACACAGAATAAACAAAATTATATCCAATACGGAGCACAACTTTATGGAAAGTGACTCAATATTTTAACAAGTTTTGCTGCACGTTACACTTCAAATTACCAGTCACAGGTTTCAGGAGGGACGCGTGCCAGCTCACCCAAAGCAGGTTCAGTATCATGAAACTGTCCAGCACTGTTCACCTCGTCACTACACTTTCCAAATGATCTAACTAACAATGCTCTCAAACTTCAACTAATTGTTTTAAGAATACAATTCAGTTAAAAATATATCTTTATTCTTATGTCACTCTTAACAGAAAATAACTTTCATTCATTTATTTTAGAAGATATTCACAAGCATACAATATGAAAACATACTTACAGATTGTATATCTTGTAATGGTTTTTATGCTTTGAATCCAAAAACCTTAAAATAAAAGACAAAAAACTGCCATTAACAAAAATGATTTAATACTGCACTTGAAATTACATTAATACGATTAAGAATCAAAAGATAGGTTCTATTTTTCTTAATCTCAAATACCATTAAGTAAACATAAATAAATAACCCAAACATGTATTCCCTGCATGAGTTTACACTAGCAATCAAGCAGTCTGAAATAATTACTCCACTACACAGATTTATACAATCTAGAACTTTTCACAGAATGAATATTTCCATAATTCTGTCTTCAGGTTACTATAACGAGATTGAATTTTAAGAAATAACTTTTTTCCCATAATTTTATTGATAAACAAATAGCAAAAAAAAAAAAAAAAAACCAAGTGGTTAGATGCCAGGAAGTAGGTGGCAATGCCTTAACCATATGCGTGTTGTCAGGCCCGAGGGTCTCTTCCATCCTTGTCAAGGGGAGTGCTAACCTTCTCTCCTTTCATACAACACAGTAAAGTTGGGTTTTTTTGTTGTTTTTTTTTTACTGAACCGGGGATTGAACTCAGACCCTTGCACTTTCCAGGGAAGCACTTATTCTGAGCCATCTCCCTGGTCCTAAGAAATAACTTCTTAAAAGGGAGCATTAGCACTTAGCATTAGCATGGTTCATACAGGTCTGCAAGAAAGTCACAAGCCATCATATACGCTAACCCTGAAAACTTAGCCATCATTTTGTTCCCAACTAAAACCATTTGATATTTATAATGTACAAACAACAGCTATTAATTCTGAAGGACTTCAGTAAATATTTTCACATATATGTTCTCATTCATCGCTCAGAAACACATGAGAGACAGAGTTTATTCATGTTTTACGGAGGAGGGAAACAGGCCTCAAAGAGATTATGGGACTTGTCCAAGGTGACATGGCCAACAGAGAGTCAAACCCAGAGACCACTCCTTCTTCACAATTATTTGTGAAATCATTAAATGACAAGTACAGGCATCACAAAAACACACACATACCTCTTTAATCCTCAATAATACAACACTATAAAGTAGGAAACAAAAGGGTCAGAAGAGTATAAATTTTAAGAATTATCACAACAGAAAAGACAATGGGGGGCTGGTGAGATGGCTCAGTGGTCTAAAGCACCTACTTAGAACAAGCTTAGCAAAAACAAAGGGACTGCGGTTCAATCCCCCAGCACCACATGCCAGCCAGCCCCGCCCCCTGGTGGGCTGAGCTGGCCACACACACACACACACACACACACACACACAAATAAATAAATAAATAAATAATTTTAAAAAAAAAGAAAAGACAATGAAAGGTTTAAAAAAAGAAAAAACTAGAATCTAAAACTAAAGGACATGAGTTTTAAAACTAAGGTGCATGGGGGCCTGGCCTTAGCTCAGTTGTTTAAGTGGCTGCTTCCACAAAGCTGTCAGCCTCAGGATGCTGTAGTTCATCCCCACAACACTCCAGCCTGCCAAACCACCCCTGAGGGCATTCGGAGCAAAAAAAAAAAAACTTATAAAACTAAGGTGCATGAATACCCAGCAAAACTGATGAAAACATACCTACATGGTATATATACTTTTGTGAAATTTCTAAAGAAATAAGGAAAAAAAAAAAAAACCAGCAAGAGACAACCCTAGCTGGATGCCTATAAGGAAATAGGTTTCATAAAAAGAATTTGGAGTCAAAATAGCATTGCCCTTTTTAAAAGCAATAACAACTTTTTGAAAAGTGGGCAAAATACAATTTTGAAAAAATATTATTTCCAGCCTAGAATTCTATATTTTAAGATAGACTGTAAAAGTTATGAGTATATAATAAAGACATTTAAAATAAGTATAATCTCCAATAATTCTGCTTCCCATACATTTTCTTGAAGTTACTGAAAGAGGTGCCCCACAAAACAAGAGTGGGAAGAGAGGAAGGAAGGTAACAGATCCCAAGAACCGAAGAATCCAAAATATAGAAGAGGAAAACAATCCCAAGAGTACGGGGGAAGGAACATCTACGTAGACTGCCATAAAGTAAGGTTCAAGAACAATTCATCTGAATTAGGTACGATTAGAAGGCTCCAAGAAAAGAGAAAATAGAATACCAAATGTGCCCAAATGCAGAGAGATTTATATAATTAAAGGCATATGTATGAGTCAGTTAAAATTAAGAACATAGAAAATAAAGTAAAGGGCCGGCAAGATAGCTAGGCAGACTAAAGTGCCTGCTTAGGCAAGTTTAGGCAAAGCAGGACTTCGATTCAATTCCCAGCACCACATGCTGCGCGAGTTCCCCCCAACCCCCGCCCCAGGATGGGCTGAGCCAGCCTGAGTCTGGGTGTGTTGTGGCACATGCCTTTAAACAGAGCACTGGGAAAGCTAAAAGCAGGAGGATCACCACAAGTCCAAGCTACATAGAGAAACCCCATACCATATACATTTAAAAACTAATAAAATTTTTAAGAACACCAAAATAAAAAAATAAAGAAACCATCTTAATTGGAACAGAAGAGCTACAGAAAGAAGTTACAGCCTAATATGTTGCTTAACTGTAAATGGTTAATTTATGTAGTTATAATCAAAAAATCTAAAAATTGGTATAACCAAAATTATAACTATTGAAGAGATTATATGTACAAAAAAAGGACCCATGAATTACTCTGAAAATTATGTCAGAGTAGTTCATAAAAGCAGTGCTTAATAATTCTTTCACTAACAGAAGTTATAAATCTTCACATGTCACACTACCACTACTGCAAATAATCTGATACAGAAGGCACCACCCCTCAAAAATACCTTCCTTTGAGTGTGGAGGAGCCTTCTTTGACAAAGCAGAAAGAAATGTAACTCAAGTGGAACAAAAGTTTCATTGAGGCAAAAAGGAAGAGCAAAAAAAAAAAAAAAGGAAGCGCAAATGTATCTGTCTGAAGTTTGTAAAGGATATCAGAAAAGTAATGTGTAGGAAAAGAAAAAAGTTTGCATGGATTTACCTCAGGTCTTTGACTAAAACAAAAAAGAGTTAATACACAAGAAGGAAATTTGTGTGGTTTCATGTGAGGTCTTTGACCAAAGGGCGGGGTGCACAAGTGCAGGATCTGAAAGCATGAGACAGAGGCGGTACAACACAGGGGGCAGTTGCAATACTGACCCAGCTAGAGAGGAAACAGTCTCACTGAGCATCCCAGATATTTAGCTGAGAACCCCCCAGAAAGGCCACACCTTAAAAGTAAGGCCCTGGCAGGTGCCACATACATGTAATTCCAGTACTCAGGAAGCTGAGGCAAGATCACTGAGTTCTAGGCCAGCCTGAATTACATGAGTTCAAGGCAACCCTGAACTATACAGTGAGATCCTGTCTCAAAAAGCAAATGAACAAGTAAGGTACTAGGTTAAAAAAAAAAAAAAAATCTGAAATCTGCCTTAACAAAGAAAACAAGGTGGGGCCAAGGAGATGGTGCAGTAGAATAAGCGCTTGCCTGGCAAGCTCAAGGGCCTGAGTTTAATCCCCAGTTCCAAGGGAAAAAAAAAAAAAAAAGAAAACAAGGTTTAACAGTATCAGAAAAACCCTAAATTTAAATGCCTAACAAAATGAAGAGGAGCACCCTTAAAGAAAATAACAATCTGATTCCCTTCAACATTCAATATCTAATTAAAATTTACCAGACAGACGGGGGGGGGGGGGGGGGGGGGGGGGGGCTCCTGTGCGGCAGGGGAGGTGGCAGGCAGACATGACCCCTGATCCAAGGAGAAAAAAAAAAAAATCAATAGAATCAGACTCAAGGGCCAGCCAAACAGCTCAGTGGTACCTGCAAGCAGGCCCAAGGGCCAGAGGTTCAATCCCAGGGCCTGCCGTGCTGGCCCCACCCCCAAGGCACACTGAGACTGGGCATGGTGGTGCACGTGCCTGTAATCCCAGCTCTTGGGAGGCTGTAAACAGGCAGATCACTATGAGTCCGATCTAGTTGTGAGACACTGAACACCCCACAGACCCTTCCCTAAAATACAAAATATAGAATCAGATTCAAAAACAAATTGTTAAAATCAGCAAATGTCTTTAAGGTAGCTATTATAAATATGTACAAAAATAAAAAAGAAAAAGATTACAATTGAGTGAAAAGTTCCAACAAAGATAGAGACAATATGAAAGGCAAATGTATTTGAGAAGAAAATTCTAATAATGGTGTCAACAAAAGATGAGATTGTATATGTAAAGCATGGCAGATTTTATTTTCTACAACTTCATTTAACGTTTACTAAGAATCTGCTATGTAACAAGCACTACCTACAGGGCAGTACCAAAACTACAAGTATTGACAACAGCCAACTATGAGAGCTTCTCAGAAACACACTGGAAAATCTACTTTCAAGGTATCCCATTCAGAAAACAGTCTGAGGACAACCGACAACTTCCAATGTCCCTAAACTGCTTATCAACCAAATAAAAAAAATCAGCATCTGAAAAAGCAAAATAGGGTCAACGAGATAGCTCAATAGAGTAAGCCTCCTGCTTATGCAAGCACAGGCACTGAGGTTTGATCCCCAGCTCCACACACCACATTGACCCCCATCCCCGGGCATGCTGGGCCAGAGCCACAGAGTTCAGGTGTGGTGGCACATAGTCATAAATGCCAACACTGAGAGGCTGAAAACTGAAGGATCACTATTGCGTAAACCATATAAGGGAGAGGAGAGGGGGAATGGGGAAGGGGAGAAGGGAGATGGAGAAGGAGAGGGACAGGGAATTATTTGCTGCATTTTTCTTTCTCTAGCTCACAATCTGATAACCACATATTATATGGTTTAACCAGTATTTGGCTAGAGCCTCAAAAAACTTCAACCACTACAGCTATTACTAATACATGGAAATAGTTGTTCTTTTTTTTTTTTTTTTTTTTTTTGGCGGAACCCGGGATTGAACTCAGGCCCTTGCACTTGCCAGGGAAGCGCTTATCCCACTGAGCCATCTCCCTGGCCCCCAATAGTTGTTCTTTTGAAACACAAAAAACTCTTCAATTCCACTAA